AATCTCTTTAAACCTTTATGCTAAATTGGACAGAAGAGGAGGAGAGATGCATACTTTATAGTTCATTTTCTCTCTACTCTTGCGTCCTCCCAATTTAAGGTGGTCGAACTTTTTTAGTTCACAGAGTATGACCGCATGCATCAAAGCAAGAAGCTTCTGTTGCTTACATTCGCATTTACATCCACCCAAAAAAAAAAAAGTCTCTCACAGAACAATTGAAGATCGTGATGCACTTTCTATCATGCACACAAAATCGTATCCATTGACTATACCAAAAACCCCAGCTTTTTAGGACGAATTATAGTGATCATTAGGCAACAAAATAGACCGAAAACAACAACACTTACCGCAACAAACATCGCAAAGTTTTTAACGTAGTGAGCAACTCCCAGGATACAGAACAGTTACATAACCAAAAGTTCTCTTATTCAGCATATCACGACAAGTTTTCTTATTCGGCATAGCACTAAACATCAAAGAAGCATGCGTTTGTGATACATGATAGTATCATCCTCGCGTCACGATTCAACTCCGAGTGCCAACAACAAAGTTTTTAATTGCTCAAGCCTGAAGTCCGATGATACCTGCAACCAGTACAGCAAGCAGAAATAATCATGACACATAATCGTGAGCAAAAAAATTATACAAGGAATCCCATGAAACTAGATGCAAAAAATTAAGCAATATAACTCACCACAGCCAACTCTTCCGCCAGCATTTCCAGTGCTTTTGCTAAGCTCGTGTCCACCTGAAAAAGCAAGATCGAGATTAAGTCTTTCATATATTAATCACAAAAAGAAAGCACTGTTGCAAGCATCCAGGGAGAAAAAATGTGATCCCCTGGAAACAAGAAACTATACATTAGCTGCTGTGAGGTGCTACAATGAGAGAACAGAAGGGCAAGCTATAAGTAAGGGGGGTATTTCTGTAGGTCATAATTCCATCATGGTTGGCAAATGGTGCAAGATTTGGAAAGCAAGTTGTAATCAAGATATGCATAGGCTCAAAAAATACTGAATACATACAGGAAGTGATTCAATAAATATAGAGGACATATCACCGGCAATATAACTATAGAAGTAATATATTAGTTTAGCCACACAGCTAAGCTGGTGCATGGCTGAAATAAGTTATATATTAAGAGCAATCATTATGGACTGAGTATGGGAACCTATCGCATTAATATATCAGAAAATTGTACATACCTTAATGTCAAATTATACATATCTAATTCAATAGATGAAGAGGATATATCACAAACAATATAGTCATATATTTAACAAGTTATAAATTCAATGTAGCCATGCAGCTAGGTTGGGGTATGGCTTTAAGTTAGACATTAATTTGAGAGCAGTCACTATAGAAAGGCATGAGAATATATGCAATTAGCATATCAAAATATTGTACGTATCTTTATTTCAAATTCTGGCAGATCAATTCATTCAAAATTTACCGTTGCTTTCTAGCTTATGTTTGTTTTCCTTTTCAAAATTTGCTTCTAAGAAACACTAGATGAAATACCTTCTTCAATGGAATGCTCAAACTGGCATCAACTCAACTTGCGCCATCATGATGTAACAGTGACTTATGAACATGTAACAGGTTATGTTACTTATGATTCTTTTGCAGAAAACCCCAAAAAAGATAAGTTAATTTTCAGATCAAGGCAAACCATAAGTAAGCAATTCTGATAACAAAAGGAGATCAAGTACATGTATTAGAATAAAAGATACTTGTGATTTACTTCTCTTGAAATGTTGATTAATATACACAATACTGCCAGATATTGGTTTTATGCAAATAAAAAATTGTTATGAAAGCACAAATGTACGTTCATAAAAAAAAACTTCTATTACTTAAAATGATCGCGTGTTCATAATGTTGCACTAGACAGAGGCAATACTATCTAACAATTCATGGATCTACTGCTAAGATAGCAAGCAAAAATTGACTTACAAAAGAAAGAAAATCTACATATAATGTAAAAGATTACCCTTTCCAAGATCATCAGGGTCAGCATGGACAACAACAGCTCTTCCAATAATGGAATTCGGCCCAGTGAGTGGAATCTGTGTACATAGGACATTTTGAGGATTTTAACGTGTGGGCTGGATAGAATTTCTATTCATTTTTTGTGGACAAAGGGAGAAGACAATTACTAACCTGACTGTCAGTAATACTGAAAGTAGCGGTCCCTGAACCATTACAAGGAAAGCTTATGTTAATAATAACATATATTTCTTGATACAACCCAGAAAATGCATAAGTTAAATGTAAATAATATAAATTTCAAGTTGCATCCCAGCCAAGTGATGCAAATTACTGATATTAGCTTTTATCAAAATATACAATCTTTACATTCTTTACAACTAACCAAATTATTTGAAAATACTAATGGACGAAAATAAAAAGACAATAATCCTATACCATCCTCAGCAACAGTCACATTTCCAAGGTCACCAGCATGGCGATTCTCATCTTCAGGTGCCCCATGTTCCTTTCCAGCAGGATTGAAATGAGGTCCTATATTGTGAACATTGACGGTGATTAGCAATGCAATTACTTTTATTGATATTCCACCTTAACTATAAATATATAGTTAATGAATAAGAATATATAGAACAACCTACCAGTGGACATGCACCCATTTGTGGTGTCACCAAGAGCATGAACATGGAAACCATGAAGCCCGGGTTTCAGACCAGAGACACTTCCGGTTACTGTAGTTGGGCCTGAATTCATATAAAAAAGTCACAAATGTAATTGATGGAGAAAACAGTCATCAAGTAGTTTGAACTTTTGTTTCTTTAACGACAATCTAAACATGTTATTGTAGAAAATATTTTTTTTTAAGGGTAGTAAATTTACCATCTCCCTCTTGGCTGAAGAAAACATGGCCCTTCACGACATCACCAGCAACTACAGCAACAGCCTTCACCATTTTTTATGTGATCTGCACATTAATGTCAAAACGAAATAAATGCTTCAGTAACAGGAAGCACCAGACGATCTTTATGACAATAAAGATGCTAACACATTATATTAGCCAATCACATATGTAGCCTAAAGTTAATGTAAACAAATAAGTAAAGAACTCTTTGGAGATTAATGCAAAACTAAAATATGTCCACCATAATAGAATGGAGTGGGAAAATAGGACCCCCAACATTTGGGATGAAGGCTTTGTTGTTGTTGTTGTTGTTATAACACAAAACAAAAATACAGATCCTTTTATCTATTCCAGAAAACTATAAAATAAAATACATAAAAGATGGAGAATATTCAAAGACGAGCCACACTGAAAACAGTAGATAGCTTCATAACCCTCTAAATTTCAGGCTAGCAGGACATCAACAATTGGTTAAAAACTAAACCGTAAGCAACCCATCCAATGTAGCTATTTCTTCAGGCGAGCTAAAAGGATGCAGGTAAAAGCCTGTTTGCTGTATAAATTTTCGGTGCAGGCATTACCAAATGTATTAAATATCCAAGAATTTCGTAAATAAGATGATAATCTTGAATTATCAAAATACTAGGAAATCACGATGGCATAAAAAAACGTAACTATGCAAGAATTTCAGTACGAAAGTCCTTTTATCGAAAATAGTACTTCGCTAGTACAAAATACAAGGATGAAATTTGCAACTTTTTGCATAGATCACAGCCCAATTACGACACCAACAAGAAATTACCCGTTACGAATAAATTAAAAGCTAGACACGCCATTACGAAATTAAAAGGCTACTGCTAAACAAAAATTAAACTTACATGGGATAAGGATCAAATTTACAAGCTACAGTACAGTCTAGATCCGTATCAAGTCAAAACGATCGCATGATTATAATCAACATAATCTTCGATTGATGAAAGGACCAAAGCTAAAGATCGAATCTTTATTACCGATAAACAGGCGATTAAGGCTAAAAGCCTAAGATTCAGTCAGATCTTAAAGAGATTAAACGCTAAAAATACGATCTTGGCATTAGGAATAATTACCTCAGGCGACCCCTTGTAGAGAGAGAGAGAGAGAGAGAGAGAGAGGTTTCTAGGCTTCAGAGGGAGAGAGCAAATAGTAAGAAAAGAAACGAGAGAAGACCAGCCAACGCTCACTGTGTTGATATGGTCACCGCAGGGAAGAGATTGGCTGGGATATGGTCACCGCAGGTGAGAATAGACTAAAGTGACCTTACAACTCAAAAAACACAAGCTTTGAGATTTCTTCTTTTTGTTAAAATGTTTTCAGAATTGAGAAAAGAATAAATATTAGAAACATATTCTAAGGAAATGAGCTTACCACGCGTACACTGTTAAGAATAGCCAATGTGGCACACGTCAAAAATAATGGATTGATAGTGCGTTTTAGACCTGAAAAATGGGACCGGACCTTATGATAAGTGATGTGAATTAATAGTTGTATTTTTCTTAATTTTTCCACCTTGGCTAAATAAATACGTAAAGAAGGGGCAATTCTGGAATAACAACTTCTAATTTTGTTGGTTTGGGAAGACTTCACTCGAGGCAAAAGAACAAACTTGTGGCAAAAGCATAAGTTTTTGTACTTGGTAGTGAGGTGACATATTTCCCTCAACTCATTGAAATCGAGAGTTACATTCACATGGATTGAGGAGTGTTTGGGAATTGAAATGAGTGGATGTGAATATGACATCTCACTATCGAATATATATATATATATATATGAGAAAAATGGAGAAACTTGGTACCAAGTTGCTCCAAACAACTTGGTAGTGATGTGGCCTAATCTTGTCCATACATCTACATTGGAGTTGGTGAAGGGTGGTTGAGGCTCTATCTTCGAGGTGTGATGTAGGGGCAAGATTAGGCCACATCACTATCAAGTTGCTTTAAGCAACTTGGTACCAAGGTTCTCCATATTTCTCTATATATATATATAGATATGAGGAATATGGGTATGCTTGGTACCAAGCACAAATTTTGTGCTTGGTAGTGATGTGCCTCATTCACATCCACTCATTCAATTGGGGGGACCACATTCAACCTATGTGAATATGGCCCCCCCATTTGAATGAGTGGAGGATAATATGCCACCTCACTACCAAGCACAAATTTATATATATATATATATAGGTAAAAACTTATGTCAACTTAAGTGGATAAGAATGAGTCATCCATCAACTTTTTTATCCGTTGATATTGCATTGGGATCCATGATAGATATGAATAATCTTTTAAGATTTTTGCATCTTTTGAAGGTACAAATCTTGAGACAATATTACTGGATAAAAAATTTGGTGGACAATACCTCCTATCCACTTAAGCGAATAGGAGTTTTACTATATATATATACATATATATATATATAATTTGAATTATTTGCAACAAAAAATACTTACAGAAAATGCTCAAAGAATTTATTCTATCGAAACATTTTAGGAAAAAATCGCTTTAAGACCCCAAATTCCAACTTCCATTGTGCCTTAGCCCCTCCAACTTTCACCAATGTGCTGCAACCATTGTTTTTTACTAAAATTGTGTTCATCCCCTTGTTTTATTACCTATGCGCTTACATGATAAACTTCAGTGAGGCGAAGATAAAAGATAAAAAATTACAAATAATACTGATTTCAAATTAGAATACATTGATTCACTTTGGAGGAGTGGGAATCGGAGGTAAACTCACCCCTCTAAGCCGCTTCATGGCGGTGCCAGTGTGAAAGGAATCTCATACCCGCCCGTTATGTCCGTGGCGTTCATTGTTCATGGAGAAACTAGAGAGTTGTAAACAAGATAAATAATTCATATGCGGACGCCTTTGTAAAAAATTATATGTTCAGGTTGGCCCTTTATCCGGCAGAAGAGCATGAACCTACTTATTTTAATTTAAATTAGTATAATAGGCATGCATTGCAGGAGGATATTTTTTATTTAGTATTATATTATTTAATAAAAGATGTATAAATATTATATAAGTTATTTTATAACATTATTATTAAATTAATTTATATTATTATTAATCATTTAATAGTTACTTAAATTCTTATTATTATGTTATTAAACAATTTATTTAAGAATATAACTATTAAATAATAATGTAATCATTAGTTTAAGTAATACTATTGAAATAACTAAACTATTTATATTATTAAATATTTACACTATGTAAAAATTTTATTATAACATTTATTAAATAATGGCAATAATTTATAATATCATATGACTTCATTTATACCATCATTAATAATTATAATTATGTACAATAATTTATTAAATAATAATTATTACTATTTTATTATATTTAATATTTTTATGATAAATATGTTTTATATTATAATTATTTATTTTTTAATAAATTATAGTTTTTTATTTTTATTACTATTAATATTATATTAATAATTCTTTTATTTTATTATAACTTATTAATATATTCTAGTGAATGACTAAATATTTTGAGAAAAAAATGAAGAGGTGCATAGTTAATAAGAGGTTATGGATCATTAGTTTTATAAATAATAGTATAATTATAAATTAACAAAAATTGAGAGGGTAAAAAAGAAAATCAAGACTTTTAACATGAGTATTTTCTTTTATAATTAGTATGGAAGATAGATATAAATATAGATATAGATGAGTAAGTTTTTATTTATAAGGATTCAACATCATGTTTAGTGAGTTTTACTTATTTATTTATTTATTTACTTAGAAGTACAAAAAGGAAGGGCATTTCCCGAGTTATTTTTTGACACTTATATGTAGCTTTACTTATTGTTGATAAAAGACTATTTTGTCTTTTAACAAAATAGTAAAAATAAGTAATGTATAATATTTTACAAAATAATTATTACCCAAACATTGCCATATTTAGCTAGGATTCCAACTTTTTTTTTGGTGGGGGTGGGGGTGGGGGTGGGG